AAAAAAAAAAAAAAAAAAAAAAAAAAATTCAGAACAAGAAAATAAAAACCAAAATAATGAGTTATTATTTTCATTTAGAGGTCAGAAATCCATCCAAGGTTTTAAAATTATGAATGAATCACAAAAGAGATAGTTTCCCGCCTGTTAGACAACGGTATCTATGGTACCTAGACTTTAGGTTGTATTTTTAATATTTCAGTTTATTGTGAGATGATATGAAGTGTTTGTTGCCACAGTTCATATTCTGCTATAGCAATGTATTTAAAATAAGCACTGCGGCCATGCACAGTGGTTCATGCCTATAATCACAGCACTTTGTGAGGCCAACTTGAGGCCAGGAGTTTGAGACCAGCCTGGCCAATATGTCGAAACCCATTTCTACAAAAAATACAAAAATTAGCCAGGTGTTGGTGGTGCACACCTGTAATCCCAGCTACTCTCTTATTACAACGAGAGAAACCAGGACATAATATTAATTATGTATTTTATTTTTTGTTAAATCAAAAATGAGTGTATTTTATTTTATTGTACTTTAAAAAAATAATTAAAGCAAACAGACATACAAAAAAGTGTAAAAATGATGGGTCAAACTCAATGAATTATCAGATGAATATACAAATGTAACCTCCATCTAAATCAAAATGAAAAACCAGATGTCAGGCTGGGCATGGTGGCTCATGCCTGTAATCCCAGCACTTTGGGAGGCTGAGGCAGATGGATCACTTGAAGTCAGGAATTCGAGACCAGCCTGGCCAACATGGTCAAAATTCGTCTCTACTAAAATACAAAAATTAGCTGGGCATGGTAGTGATTGCCTGTAATGCCAGCTACTTGGGAGGCTGAGGCAGGAGAATCACTTGAACCCAGGAGGCTGAGGTTGCAGTGAGGTGAGATGGCACCACTGCACTCCAGCCTGGGTGACAGACCTGTACTCTGTCTCAAACAAACAAACAAACAAACAGCAAAGAAAAACAGATGTCTACTAGCACTCAGGAAGCCCTCTCTTGGCCTTTCCCAGTCACTACTCTCCAAGGGTAGGTACTCACTATCCTGACATCCAGTAGCATGAATTTCTTTTGCCTGCTTTAGTCCTTAATATAAAGGGAATCTCATACAGATCTCATTTTGTGTCTGGCTATTTGGGCTTAACATAATGGTCATGACATTAATCCACATTATTATAGTTGTAAATCATTTATTCTCTTTGCTATCCAGTATTTCATTGTGTAAATATACCCCATTTCAGAATCTGGAAAGTTTCCAGTTTGGGACCCTTACAAGTAGTGCAGATATGAACATGCCAGCACTTAGCTTTTAGCTTTTGGTGGCCACGTGGGCAGGTCTCTGTGGAGTGAATGCACCTACAGGAGAGGAATTGTTGAGTCTTAGGGGTGTGAATGCTCAACTTCGGTAGATACAGTTTTCCAAAGTAGTGGCACCTTGGCAGTTATTGTTTAATAAGAAGGGATAGAGGCCTGGCACGGTGGCTCACGCCTCTAATCCCATCACTTTGGGAGGCCCAGGCGGGTGGATCACTTGAGGTCAGGAGTTCGAGACCAGCCTGGCCAACATGGTGAAACCCCATCTCTACTAAAAAAAAACAAAAAATTAGCCAGGCATGGTGGTGGGTGCCTGTAAGCCCAGTTACTCAGGAGGCTGAGGCAGGACAATCTCTTGAACCCAGGAGGTAGAGGTTGCAGTGAGCCAAGACCTTGCCACTGCACTCCAGCCTGGACAACAGAGCAAGATTCCATCTTAAAAAAAAAAAAACCGGGATAGGGCCTTTTCAATCACTGATGTATTTAAATTCAGCCCTTAAATCTGCCTTCCTGAGAAGGCTACTCTTTCCCAGTTTCTGCCTCTACCTGGCCAGCTCCGCAGCGGGTGGAATAAAAGGAAAAGCACACAGAATTGCTCCTACTTTGCAGGATGGCTCTTCTCTACTTCTCTCCAAGAGTGATGATGTTATTTATCCAAATCAGTGCTTAAAAAAACAGTACTTTCCTTTTAATCATATAGATTAAAATCAACTGTGCACCTAAAGAGAGATTTTGGGGCTGAATGGCGTAGCCCACAAATCCAGAAAAACAAATGCTTTGAGGCAGTGCACCCTTGGATAAGATCCAATCAAAGGATAAAAATCTTTGATTAATGCAAATGGACAAACGAACAAAAGCCAGAATGCCAAAGACACAGTGTGGGTTATCCAGTTAGAAAACACATACCAGTTTACACGCCATTCTTTTCTTTGTCTTTATATCTTGTGCCAAGTATACCTTTCCAAAGGCTCCCCGAGGAATAAAATCAGAACCAATATTCCTGTAAGTCAGTTTCCAAGGGATCAGGAGAACATCAGAATCTATTTGGTAACGTCCATTTTGGGGAGTGATGACCTACAACAAAATAAAAATGTTACAGGGTGAGAACTTCAGTCAAATTGGCTTTTTCTAAGCCCCACCCATTAGGGAGCTGATTATTTTAGAAGCATTCTGATACACAGTTACGAAATTAATGTCACTGTGGGTAATCCTACCAACTGTACAGAGACTGTAACTATATTTAGAGCTTGAGGATGTCAGGGAAAGCATGTAACAGACACATACACCCCGTCAGACCTGGTCATATTTCCACCTACTCATGAGTAATTAATTGCCAAATAGAACTTTAAAAATTATTTATCTGAAAAAGCTTGACTACTGCAATCAGAAGGCCGAAAATAAAGATTGCGTAAATATAAACCGTGCCTGCAGGTTGACTTGTTTCTATTAAAATGTGCGAACCTGTTAGTCTGCATAACTATTACTCACACATGATGCATACAGAGAAACAGCTGATTAATTGAAGATCATGGAAGATTTTGGAAAACCACGAGTTAAGCTAGAGCTATGAGTTGACAATGCTATGTAAATAAAGCGATGGCAGAATTACTTCTCATCTACTTACTTAATATCTATTGTATACATTGTATCTATCACGTGCAAAATAGGTGCTAGGCACAGTGTTTGGTGCTACAGAGGCAGCCATGAATAAGAGATGGCTGACCCCTGACCTCCCAGGGTTCAGGAGCAAGCCAACTCTTAGAACTACAAGTTTTGAAACTAGTTGATTCAAAAATTAAGAGACAGCTGGGAGCAGTGGATAACGCCTTATAATACAAGCACACTGGGAGGCTGAGGCAGGTGGATCACTTGAGGCCAGGAGTTCAAGACCAGCCTAGGCAACATAGTGAGACCTCATCTCTACAGAAAAAAAATAAAATAAAAACACAATATAAATTTTAAAATAATAAAACAAAAATTAAGAGTTGTAATCTGATAGCAATGTGGGTTTCAAGGACATGTGCATTTGTCAAAACTCATAAAATTGGACATTTAACATCTGTGTATTTGACTATATATAAAGAATATTTCAATTTTTAATTTAAGACTGGCTCCACTGAGGATTTGAACCAGCAACCTTGCAGTTGCAGGCCTTATACTTTAACTACTGTGCTAACAGGCCACTTATTTCAATTTTTAAAAAGGAGAAAATTAGAAGAGAAAATAATTATAATTAAAACTAAAACAAAATAATATGGTGGTCCATGAAAAATGCGATCTGGAACGCATGCCTATAACGTGTCTAAAGTGTTCTTTCAAGGGATAAATAGCCCCAATACCAGTTTTTCAATGTAATCAGTAATATTACGCCTTCTGATTCTGAATTCAGGAATTATGAAACTATCTTTTCTTTTCTTTTCTTTTCTTTTCTTTTTGAGATGGAGTCTTGCTCTGTCATCCAGGCTGGAGTGCAATGGTGCTATCTTGGCTCACTGCAACCTCTGCCTTCCAGGCTTGAGGTATTCTCTCACCTCAGCCTCCCAAGTAGCTTGTATTATAGGTGTGCACCACCATGCCCAGCAAAATTTTGCATTTTTAGTAGAGACAGGGTTTCACCATGTTGGCCAGGCTGGTCTAGAACACCTCACCTCAAGTGAGCCGCCTGCCTTGACCTCCCAAAGTGCTGGGATTACAGGCGTGAGCCATAGTGCCTGGCTCAGGAATTATTAAACTATCAAAGGACCTTAACTTATTTCAAGTAACAGAAGAAGCTGAACAGCTAGGTGCAGTGGCCTATAATCCCAGCACTTTGGGAGGCTAAGTGAGGTGGGAAGATTGCTTGAGGCAAAAGTTCAAGACCAGCCTGGGTGACACAGTGAGACTGCCCTTTCTGTTGCATGTAAAATTTAAAAGAAGCAGCAGCAGCTGAAGGGGAATGTGACAAATCCCCAAATCTACCACATGGGAAGAGAATGAAATCCTGAGTCATCTGCAGATGCGTGGGACTTCTCTCTCAGGACACTGCTGCAGAAATAGTTCTAGTAACTGTAAGGACCATTCATTCAACTCCACCACTGCTAATTTTAGCTACACAACCCACAAACAGATGGGTTAACTATTAGGGAATAAAGCAGAGACTAACTCTAATGCTTAGAAATATGAAGTCATTGAATTTCAAAACTCAGTATTTACTGAGTGCTTCTGCTGTGTGAGACCCTGTGCGGGGGCCCGAGAACTAACATAATACATGCAGATGGCGATCTTGCCTTGTTTGAAAGATGACCTCCTTTCAAGAAGTATGTCACCTCTGGTTGCGGGAGGCCTCTTTTGCAGCATGCTGAGAACACAATGGACTTAGTCCCTTTTCACACTCAGACAGAACCCTACGCATGACACTCAACAGCACTTGCTTCTTTTCCCTTTCTTGTCATTAAATATTTACAGGCCTGATTCCACCGCACCCTCTAGTGAACCATCTCTGTGTTCAACTTACCTTCATGAAAGTTTCATCAACCTAAATTTGTTATAATCCAATTTGTCTTTTTGTTTATTTTTGTTTTGAGATGGGGTCTGGCTCTGTTGTCCAGGCTGGAGTGCAGTGGCTGGAGGGGAGTGGCGGATCTCGGCTCACTGCAACCTCCACCTCCTGGGCTCAAGCGATTCTTGTGCCTCAGTCTCCCAAGTAGCTGGAGTTACAGGCATGCACCACCATGCCTAGCTAATTTTTGTATTTTTGGTAGGGACGGGGTTTCACCATGTTGGCCAGGCTGGTCTCGAACTCGTGACCACCCCCCTCGGCCTCCCAAAGTGCTGGGATTACAGGTGTGAGCCACAGGTGCCTGGCCTATAACCCACTTTGAACCAGTGTCCAAGAGGACAAAAGATAATTTCAGGCATTTGTTGAGTGCTAACTACAGCACTGTGCTCAGTACTTCAATACATTATCTCATCAAAGTCTACGACAATAGTTTGAAGTTAACTGCTATTTTTATCTTCATTTCACAGATGAGGAAATTAACTTCAAGAGGTTAAGAAATATGCTAGTTAGTGCAGGCGTCAGGATTCAAACTCAGATCTGTCTGACTCCAAAGTCATATCTCCTAGTCTGGGTAAGAGCCTTTTATCTTCCAGAAGGCCATAATGAAAGCTGAGCTATGGTGAAACCACAGTTATTAAATGCCGGGTTACAAAAATAACTCAGTTATTTATGTGTTTACATATTTTCTGAGCACACCTTAGCCTTCTCCTCTATAGATCAAATAATGCAAGTTCCTTCACCCCCATTCACCCCTATTTTATAACTTCTCACATACAGGAGACCCTGCTCTCAACACCTGTGAGTTCTCCTAGGCTCCTTTCATGACTGGCCCTGAATTTCCAGTGTAATGTACAAGTCTTGACCAGTTCATAGCTCTACAAACGCCTGGTTCTTGCCTAGCCCCAGATCTCCTGTATTAATTTTTTTTTCTTTTTTGAGATGGAGTTTCACTCTTGTTACCCAGACTGGAGTGCAGTGGCACAATCTCAACTCACTGCAACCTCTGCCTCCCAGGTTCAAGAGATTGTCCTGCCTCAGCCTCCCTAGTAGCTGGGATTACAGACGTGCGCCAACATGCCTGGCTAATTTTGTATTTTTAGTAGAGACGGGGTTTCTCCATGTTGGTCAGGCTGGTCTCGAACCCTACATTTAAATTTGAGATGGGTTTTTTTCTTCTTTCTAGCGGCCCATATAAAAACAAAATGTTTTTTTAAAGACAGGGTCTTGCTCTGTCACCAAGGCTGGAGTGCAGTGGCACCATCATAGCTCACTGCAGCTTCAACCTCCCAGGCTCAAGCAATCCTCCCACCTCAGCCTCCCAAGTAGCTGGGACTAAATCACCTGGCTGATTTTTAAATATTTTATAGAGATGAATGTCTCACTATGTTGCCCAGGCTGGTCTCAAATTCTTGGGTCCAAGTGATCCTCTGGCCTTAGCCTCCCAAAGTGTTGGGATTACAGGCCTGAGCCACCATACCCAGCCCTATCAAACCATCTTAGGGAAGTCTATGCTGTTTATCTCTGTCAATTCTTCAACTTACCAAAATCATTTCTAAGGGCAGACATTATAAGCACACTTTCTATTTTGTCATTCAGATCACCATCATTTATACCAAATAACACTGGGCCCAGAAGCAACATTTGAGAAAAAAATTTTAAGTATTATAGTAAGAATAAATTCCACGAGTGACCTGTGTGATATGCTACCATGAAACAGACATGGTATTGATCTATATTCATGCAGACATATTATCTAGCACAAAGGCCAAGCGAGCTCTGTCCTATTCTGCTGATCACAACAAATGAATCCTCACATTCAAAATCGGCTCTAAGATAGACACTGATACAAGCTTGAGTTCCCAGGGTCCTGCCAAGATGATGAGAAAATTTAATAGTACAATACATGAGAAGTTGTGAACACAGCTGGAAATGTATGGGAAAGAAGAGAGAAGATCTGGGGAACATGGAATTTAAACAATTTCTGAAGGACTGTCATAAGGAAGGGGTGTAACAGTTGTATACAACAGTAACGCCCACAATGGCTTGCATTTATTAAACACTCACTATGTGTAACGAGGTCATGTGTTCATTAATTGCTCCAAATATCAACCCTATAGAGTGTTATGATGTTACCCATTTTATGGTTGAGTAAACTGAGGCAAAGGGGGTGAAATGACCAGCCCAAGGTCACACAGCTAATCCATTTCGAGCTGAACTACAAAAGCCAGGTACTTTAATTCAGGGCCCATCGTCTTCACCACTGCTCATCACAGGTAGTTTTTTTTTTAATGGCCAAAAAGTAGGGCTTGCACTAAATGGTCAGAGATGAAAATTTTGGTTCTATATAAGGAAGAGAACTTTCTTACAATCAGGACTGGACAAAGAGGAAATTCTGTGTCCCAGTGTGTGATGAGCACCCTGTCACAGTAGATTTTCAAGAGCAGACCAAAATGTTCTACCAATTATTGGAGATGATGAACAGGGTGATTTGAGTCCCAGACAGAGGGCTGGACCTCAAGTATCTTTAAGGCTTTTCAACTCCGAGGTCATGACTCTATGACCAAACCCTAAGGAGCATCTTAAGCATCTTACACTTATAGCTATAAAGTTGTAAAAAAAAAAAAAAAGGGTGAAGGTTTTCTGGTCCTTCATTTCCATAAAACCACCAAAGAGTTGAATGTATGAAACCCATTTTAGATTATTGGTTCCCAGACCCGGTTATGAATCAGCGTAGATGATAAATAACGTGCGGCACTCTTACGCAGAGCATTTCCCAGGTTAATCTCCTAAAGCGTCTCCCCCAGGTCTTGCTGGATGTTGGTGGGATCTTTAACAAATATTATTTTTAGTAAAATCACACACACATACAATCACTAAACATGCCTATGCTTCAGGATACTTTTGTAATTCCTGGTTCTGCACCCTAAGTAACTCCATGGTGTTGTGGTTGTGGGCTGCCTGACACATCAGGTCTCTACGACTCTGGGTCTCTGCACATGCTGTTCTCTCCATCTGGAGCCCTCACCACGTCATCTAGCTGACTCCAACTCAATGCTTCAGACCTTAGCTTAGGCATCAATCCCTCTTGGAAGGCGGTGCTGACGTTCTCCTTCCTTCTTCCACACTCATGGCTATGTAAGGTGCCCTGCCTACGCATTGCCAGAGCAAACAGCGTGCAGGTGCTCTGGGAGGCAGCACACTCTACCACAAATGCCCATTCAACTGCATTCTGCATGCACCAGGCAGTAAGCTCCCAGAGGCACAGACTGTTCCATACTATCTCTAGGACCTGACACACTGTAGATAGATGTCCCAGCTATGTCTAGCAAATGAAAGAGTAAAATGTTGAAAGTTTCCCCATCCCTATGTGGATATACCATATAGACGGATTTTACCTAGGAACCAATCTGTGTAGTAGATAATCAGCTGCTATTTTTCTAAAGCTGAGAGACAGCAGCAAATGAAGCCCAGTCGAGTAAAGTTTTGGTAGGGTAGAGGGTAGAAGATGATGGGAACAGAAAGATCTCGAGCACTGATGATTCGAAGTAGAACAGTGTGAGGATGAAAGGGAGTCGAAAGCAAGCCTTGCCTCCTTTACCATCCTGACTGAAGTGACTGTGATCAGAGATGACAGTCCCCATTCCTAGGCTATCATTTATGAAGCATGGAGCTCTGAGGGGTTACCTAGCAGGCACAGCAATGTAGTCCATCTTTAAGGTCAGTGGCAGGAAAGTCAGCTGCAGCACCCCAGAGCCATTGCCCACTAGGTCGATTTGCCTAGTGAGGCCATGTGTAAGATCCACTGGATTTTAAGGTCCTCCTCTTATTCTATTCTGTTTTTTAGTCTTCTTGTTTTATAAGTTATATTCTTGATCATTTTTAAAATAAAAATCTTTTTAAAGTTTTTCAAGATCCCTGCCTTTACTTATTTGTTTATTCTTAAACTTTGTCCTGGCCTGGCACGGTGGTTCACACCTGTAATCACCGCATTTTGGGAAACTGAGGTGGGCAGATCACCTGAGGTCAGGAGTTCCAGACCAGCCTGGCCAACATGGTGAAACCCGTTTCTACTAAAAATACAAAAATTGGCTGGGCGTGGTGGCAAGCGCCTGTAATCCCAACTACTCGGGAGGCTGAGGCAGGAGAATTGCTTGAACCCAGGAGGCAGAGGTTGCAGTGAGCCAAGATCACACCAATGCACTTCAGCCTGGGTAACAGAGCGAGACTCTGTCTCAAAAAAAAAAAAAAAAAAAAATTCTCCTTAATTATGTACTTCTTCATTCAAAGAGCACAGGACCCATGGCAGGTAATGACAACATTTTACGCAAACCCTTTGCTGTTACAATTTTACCCCTCCTCTTAATGTCTTAGCCTCTCTCTTTTTTAGGATTAACTTTTCTGGCCCCACTCCTAAAAGACTTCAGAAGGCTATTTCTTTGTATTTCTTCTAATTTTCCTGAATTCCTTTCTGTACATTCCCAGGTAGGCTAGGGGAATAGCCAAATATCTTTGCACGTTTTTGCACATTTACAAGCAAGAATAATTTGTTTTTTCTGCATATTTTCATTTAAAATACTCATTTTTATAGAAGGAGGATTTAAAAATTTTTAATACCCATTTTAACAAATAAATATGCTAAAAATGAGAGAAATACACAATTATATTTCTCAATATAGACATCTATATTACTTTGAACCCGAGTTCTCCAACTATCCTTTAGTCGGAAAATCAGATATGGCTTCTAGTTAATTACTTTTCATTTATAAAAGGAAGAAATATTCTGATGGTAAAGTACTTAGTCAACTATTAAATAGAACTTGGTAGATCCAGACCAAAGCAGTCACACAACAATGCAAAATGTAACCTTGCCCATGGTGAGCTATGGTTGAATACGACTGGCTTCTGACAAAACAATTCACTGCATAGCTGACCTAAATTACTGTGTTGTTTCTAACTAGATGAATGTGGTATACAAAAAACCAAAATAATTAAGTACTTTGGACTCTGTACTCATTCAGCACCGACCTTCCCCCACGTTAGCCATCTTGCCATTTAGATACACCAAAAGAAAGAGCGTCACTTTCATCAATAAGCATCTTTTGCAAGTTACCACCTACTCCTTGGCAAATTATTCTTTTTTAAAAAATTAGGTTACCTTTAGCCAGCACCTGTGTTCACCCCTGACATACTAAAAGCCTGACAGAATCCCAGGCACACCTAAACACATCACCTGATCCACTCTTATGGCAACAAAATGTTGCCACAATATTTTGCATGATTTACATACTTGGGATGACTAAGCAATTATATCATTTGCCATTCATACTTTGCCAATTAAAGAGAGTGAATCTGTGGATAGCTATTTACTGCCTACATATTGCTTTTTTGCAAGAAATGAATTAATAACATTTCAAGATGTGACAAAAAAGGAACAAATAATTCAGCCTTCAAGAAGATTAATTAACGACAAAGTGTTTATTCCCCTCTCAGACGAAGGAATCTTCTTAGGCCTTTCTTTTCTGTACAACTGATGAATAAACTTTCTAACGAACTGTTAAATTAAAATACATTCTGATTTTTTGGTGTTGTTGAGACAGAGTCTCACTCAGTTACCCAGGCTGGAGTGTATTAGTGCAGATCTCGGCTCACCACAACCTTCCTCTCCTGGGTTCAAGTGATTCTCCTGCCTCAGCCTCTAAAGTAGCTGGGATTACAGGTGCCTGCCACCACGCCGGGCTAATTTTGTATTTTTAGTAGAGACGGTTTTTCACCATGTTGGCCAGGCTGTTCTCAAATTCCTGACCTCAATTGATCTACCCACCTTGGCCTCCCAAAGCGTGGGGATTACAGGTGTGAGCCACTGCACCCGGCCAAAACACATTCTTCTTAATTACCTATTTGTAGAAATACTACCAAAATATGATCAAGATTCTTTAAATAGAACTTTTAATGAAGACTTTTTTTGCATCTTTAACATGGAGGTACTTCTTAGCGATGATTACACATTTTTAAGCCATACCTGGCAGCCCATCTAAACCAAGTTCAGACACCACTCTGCATAAAATGAAGCTGCAGGAGGAAAGCTGAGCACACAGCACTCAACTGATTGGAAAGAAACGTACCATGTTTAATAAAATTCCAGATTCTTGTGGCCGCTGTCCATAAAAACGCTTTGCAGTGTTGGATATGTGGTTTGCAAAAGCAAGCAAATCCTCCACGGTTCCATATCTGACTGATGACAACCATGGGACCTCTTTGCCACTAAGCAGCAGAGACTCAGAAAGCTCATCATTTTGATTGCCGTCTTGACACACGGTCATTAGACTGGGCTCATAAACTGCTGGCTCTTCACTTGCATAAAGGTTTTCCATAATGTCTATTACATCAGACACATTTAAGTGTTTAATTAATAAATCAATCTCTTCTTTATTGTCACTTCCAGTGCTCATGTACTCCATTACTGTTGCACTTTCTGGAGAGTCTAGAAAAGAAAACACAAATACTTAGCTTACGATATTTGTATTTGCATTCAAGACCAGCGGGAAACTGACATACAAGGATTGGCAACAGGATTTTATATGCTTTTTATTTTAGAAAATGAGGGTTCTGTGTCAACTGTATGTGTGAATTCAAGTTGACAGTGCAGAGTTGAAAGGGACCCAAGATAACCTTTAATCCATCTCACTTTGCAGAGGGGAAACCTGAGATCCAGAGAGCTTAATCTTACTCACAGAGTCAGTGGTATCACCTACAGCCAACTTTCACTAAACGTACGCATGAATCAAGAGCAGCTGGGGAATCTTTGAATTCCCCTCAGGCTTCCGGCTCCTTAGGGCTTCCAACCTTACACAACCAAGCTATTCCCCCAAAGGGGCACCCTCCCTGCAAGAATCGCTATGACTTTTTAAAGTGTCCGGTGACTTTAAAGAACTACTTCGCTAAGTGCAGGGACTAACTTGGCAAATAAAACTCAGGCCCTGAAAGCCAGAAGCTGGTAAAATGGATTTCAATCTAAGCAAATTTGATGGCAATAGGTCAAGTTTCAAGAATGATTCTTATGCAAATGAGTTAAACAGCTCTTTGGAAGGACAGGGAGCCTTGTTCTCCCAGTGATGAACTTAAGATGATGATACATTTAACCTGTGATTCAGCTGTCCTCCCTTTAAGACTAAAATTCTTTAATAGTGCAAGGCAAACATCTTGAGGGACCCAGAAGACTAATATCTGGATAAATGGCCCTCGAGAAGCTGTGACTAGCAGAAAGAAGCCAGGCAAGTCAAATCCAACATAAGCAAGGCCAAGTGACTGTATTAACCAAAATTGCATTTCAGTTCTTCTATACAAATCAGCTGCCACACTTAGAGATCTGTAGACGAGAAAAAGAAAGTAAAGCAAGGGTAAAAAGTGACGCTGTTACTCAGGATTTTAGAACAACTCCGTTCTGAAGGAGAAAAGATAAAAGGCTATAAGAGGTCTATGAGAATTTCAAAGCACACTGATCTACTTAAAACATTGCTGGCACTCCCGAAAGCACAGCCTCTCTCTGAAAGGTATTTCAAGTTCGTAAAAACACAAGCCTTTAACAAACAAGACACTCAGGGCTAAAGCCACGCACCTCTGATCAACCTGGAGCTTCAGTTCAAAGCTCAGGAAATGCTCCACTGCAGAACCACCTGCACGCATGACCCAGCCATCTGCCTCTCAGTGAATTTTATTTTAAAAATTTGCACTCAATCTGCAAGTTAGTGTCAACATTAACTTACTTGATGGTCATTTTCTGACATATAAATCGTGTCTAAGGAAAGTGGTCTAGCACCTGGCAATCCGACATTCCTCTGGTCTCAGAATGCTTGGAATCAAATCTCATCGCCTCCCTCTCCCCCCCACACCCCCATTTATTGCTTGCATGACATTAAGCAAGTCTCTTAACCTCTCTCGACCTCAATTTTCCCCATCTGTAAAATGGAAGTCATAAAAGCACCTACCTCATGAGGTGGTGGTGAGGATTAAAAGAGCTCAAGCTCAGAAAGCGCTCAGTGCAGGGTCAGGGGCATGGTAAATAGGCTGTGTCATTTTTAGCTGCTTTATATGCATGAGAGAGAAAAGTACTGAGTCAGATATTGCGTTAGCCTCCTTTCTTATCTGCAAATGAGACTATCTATTCCCCTGGCTTCTTCAAGTAAGAAGATAGCATCTAAAACAAGACACAAAGAGAAAAAAAAGGCAGAAACCTATGAAATGCTTTGATGTCTGTTATCACCACAGTGACATCTAGAGTGAGGAGGCAGCTTCCCCTCCCGAGATCTTCTACATCCTCGAGGGAGATTGTGATTCAGGTTCTTGGAGTCTACTGAGTTAGGAAAGGAACTTCTTAGGTTAATGGAGGAACATTGACTTCAGTTTTACTGAGCTGTTTAGCTGCAGTTTCTGCTTGTCGAATTTAATGGAAACAGAGAAGTTAAAACAAAAACAGCCAAATTTGGGGCCTCCTCAGGTTGAAAGGATCCAAGTCTCCTGGATTATTTAGCAAATGGATGACTTGACAGAAAAGAAAAATGTTGTCAGTGCTAACATGACTCAAGAAAGAAACAGGAAAAAAGTCCACACAGTTCAAATTCACTCAGCTGATCCGGAAAGACAAATTCTAGAGTTTTTTTTTTTTTTTTTTTTTTTTTTTTTTTTTTTTAAATTTTTTTTTTTTTTTTTTTTTTTTTTTTTTTTTTTAATGGGGGGGTGTTCCTGTGAAAACTGGAAATTCTAAATGACAAATCCTAAAAGGGCTATAACACAAGGTTTTGGTTTTTAAATCCTGCAAAGTCTCAAGCATTTATATGTAAAACCCAAGAGCTTACACACAGATCCACACCCCTAAACTGAAGGTTGCCAGGAATGGGGAGAGGGAGGGAAGCAGGACGGGGAGGTGGAGGAGTGTCTGACGCTGAGACTTTTCTCAGTGCCTGCATTAATTCCTTAGCAACACAGGGCTCCTGTCACGCAAATCTGTGCTCCACAGAAACCCTGCTGACCAGTCCGCCTGCTAACTGCTCCTGCAAAAAGCCTGCGCACTTTCCAGTCTTAATTAAGCACACATATGCTAATAGTTTATGGGTTATTCATGATCCGTACTCATCTAGAGAAAGTCCGGATTGTGAAGGTATTCTAGTTTGGCAGACATTTAGTATAAGATGATTTTCCCCCAACACAGTTTATAATAAAAGACTTCATCAAATTCCTGCTTCCTAATCGAACAGAAAATTATGCCGACTTTTGGAATTGGAGAGATGTGCAAATACAGTCAAAAGTAGTTACACTGAATTATTTCAGAAATCAGCAATAAAATCGTGAGGAAATTCTGTTCCTAAACATTAACGTAATACTCTTGGCTGCTTCCATATACACAAACAAAATTTGAGTGTTTCCTGGCAAGTGTGAATGAAAATGGCCAATGTGCCAGCATATGCTTCTGCCTAACAAAGAATGACTAGTCCTTGTGTTATTTCCCAACTAAAATATTTTTTAGGCCGGGTGCAATGGCTCACACCTGTAATCCAGCACTTTGGAGGCCAAGGAGGGTGGATCACCTGAGGTCAGGAGTTCAAGACCAGCCTGACCAACAAGGTGAAACTGTCTCTACTAAAAATACAAAAATTAGCCGGGTGTGGCCGCGGGCGCCTCTAATCCCAGCTACTGGGGATGCTGAGAGAGGAGAATCACTTGAACCCGGGAGGCGGAGGTTGCAGTGAACTGAGATCCGGCCATTGCACTCCAGCCTGGGCGACAAGAGCAAAACTCCATATATGTATATATATTCCTGTCAAAATAGGGCACATCTATGATTATGTTTTTGTTCTCAAAAAGCCCTGGAATGATGTCTTTCAGGCATTTTGAAGAAAGGACCGCCACTCTGCTTCAAAACCTCTAGATGCCTCAACGTGCCCATTTTCCTTATATGACAAAGTGCACGCAAACCTCAATCCTTCGGAGAGAGTTGGGGGCGTCAGCTGGAAGTGGATTACACTCCCCTTGGCAAAAACGACTCAGGCCACAGGTATGTAAAGCAACTGCAAGAGCCTTTCTTTCCCTGTTTTTATCAAGGGCAGCCTTTTCTCTTGTCTTCCCAAAGGTGAAATAGATAAGCATCGCAAAGTTTTTTTCACTCTTAAAGGCAGCCGGTGGCCTTCCCCTGTTAACTTTGGAGACAATCCCTGTGCTCCCCAAGTGTCCTTCTCCGCCCAGAGCTAGAAAAATTTCAGAGTCCTGATCAAGCTTTATCTCTCGAAAACAACTTCTGTGAAAACAACTTTTTTTATCTCCTAGTATTCTTTCTTAGACCAAAAGCCCAGCATGCGTGTTCTGCGACGACCTCTTATAGTCATGGGATACAGTCCAGGTTACAAACTTGAATTTAGTTTCAGCCCTTCACAAGTCTCGGCTCCGCCACCCCACACTCCGACTCCCTTCCTCCCGGTTCTCTCTCCCTTTAGTCAAGGGAGGCTAAAAAGCTTGTAGATTATCAAAGCACCCATCATTTGGGAGGGTCGCGTCCTGCAGCCTCCGAGCTGCACTCACCGGGTATCCGGCAGGTAGAGTGAGGCCGTCCCAGCGGCGTCGGCGACGGGAGGCTCAGTGACAGCGGGTCCCTGCTTCCCCGCGCACTGCCCAGACCAGCACTGCCCTGGCGCTGCGGATCCGGGAAGGAGGAGGAAGGGGGAGGAGTCGCGAGTCTGCACCCCGTGAGAGCCTTGCGCAAGGTGCTTTCCAGCTGTGCCTGGTGCAGCCGGAGACCCGCGAGCGCAGCTGTGGGCACACCGCCACCCCTTCCCACGCCAGAATTCCCCTCTGCTGGGGGCACCCTCCATTTCTGCATGGGAATCCCCGGACACTCATTCGTGATGCGACCCGAAAGACACGCCCGAGACCCCCAACCCTGAGTTACCTGCGGCCTCGGTGCTCCCACGCCTGCCGAGCGCTCCAGCCGCGGCCCCCCGACGGTTCGGTGCGCAGCTGGCTGCAGGCCCGTGGGAGCCGGGCACGCCGGGCCACGGGGATCCGGCGGCGGCGGCAGAAGCAGGAGCCAGGACGCTGGACCCCAGAGCGTGGCGCGCCGTCCGGAGCGGCGCGGACTAGTGAGCCCCGCGTCGCCAGCGCGCCCAGACCTCCCTGCTCTGCCCCTGACTCATGGCGTCTGAGCCGGCCCAGGGGCGGCGCAGCGGACGCCAGCCACCGCCTCCCCGACTTTTCCATTTCCCCTTTCTCTCCGTAAACAGAAAGAGAAGGCCAAATTGAAGGGGAAGCCAGAGCCCCCGCGCTGGGAAATTCCGCGCCCCCCCCCGCCCCTTCGTTTGCCCTCGGCGCGCCCGGGCGGAGCTGGAGGCGGGACGAGGGAGGAGCTGAGCGGCGCTAGGGGAGGGGCGCGGTACTGGAGCTGCGACCCGAGTGGAGGGCCTGGGACAGGGACGAGATTTCCCGCGGGCCTGGTGACCCAAGGCGTCCTAATGGCAGAGTTGCAAGAGGCGGTTGTGCCCTTTCCCGGTCCCCAGGGAAGGTCGTATATCTCAGTGTACTCGAGCCCTCCGCCCTTCTCTGGAGTCCCAGGGTCCAGTGGTAGTGAGCGGGGGGCGGTCTCCAGACCTTTTTCCCAGCGCCCCACGCCCTGGGGCCACAGAGGCGCGGCACGCCCTCCTATGCGTGCTGTGGGAGGCGGGGGCGTTTCGGGTCTTCTGGGATCCAGGTCTGCGGGTCCGATTGCTAGTGGCACGGCCCCGCCTCTACCAGATTTCGCTTCAAGTCCACACACAATGAGGGCAGTGACCCGTGGTGCGCACGCCGGGACTCGGGCTTAGAGATTCCTAAGAGGCTGTCGCAGGGTGAGCCCGAAACCTGGCGTCGGGCACTCGGCGGGGGGCCCGTGCACCCTGCCTGCAGAACCTGGTTTTCTTCTTTACAGCCTTTATTAAAATTGGTTATTTTGCGGCACCGCCTTATTAGTAAGCGTACCTGTACTGATCTCGACCCATCCCCCACGCTCCTCTAACTCTCAGTCCTAGCTGCTCATCTGGGGTTTTCCTTCTCGAGTGGAAAGCGTTTACTCCAGGTGTAACCGGAAGAGAGTTCTAGAGAAAAGCGCCTCTCTCCCGAAATCCACTCTGCAGGACATTCCCAATAGCCCGACACCCCTCCCCCTGCATTTCCCAACTATCAAGCATCCACTTTAGCCAGGCACTCGGCCAGAGCGCAGAGGGCGAGGGACCGCGTCAGGTAGACATCCTCTCTCTCTGCCCTACGGCCCAGGACACGGGGTGTCCCAGGCACAATCCACATCAAACGCGGTTGCAAACCGAGTCCACGCCCTGTTCTTCCCGGTGCCCAGGCCGGTGCTCCCTCTGCAGTTGCAAAACTGGCCCCGCGCGGTGGCACACGCCCGTAATCCTAGTGCTTTGGAGGCTGAGGCAGAAGGATCACTTGAGGTCAGGAGTTGGAGACCAGCCTAGGCAACACAGCTACTCCGTCTCTACAAAAAAAAAATCTATAAATTAGCCAGACATGGTGGCTCACGCGGGTGAGCCCAGCTACTCCGGAGCTGAGATGGGAGAATTCCTTGAGCCCAGGAGTTCGAGGCTCCCATGAGCTACGATCGTGCCACGACACTCCAGCCTGGGCGACAGAGCGAGGCCTCGTCTCACATTTAAAAGATAAAATATATATTTTTTAATCTGACTTGGACCCTCACTAGAGCCCTCCACGTTTCTTCTACGGAAAATGAATTGCAATTCCGACCTGAAGATGTGCTGAGAGAATTGCTGGAGGAGATAGGTTAGCTGAGGCGACAAGCTGGGGCCTCTTTGCAGGACTTTAACTCGCAGACCAGCCCAGACAGCAAATCCAACGTCGAGGGCCGATTGTCTGACTCGGCACTGTCATCCCCCAGTTATTTTAAATACGACAGCGATTTCATAGTATACTCATTGATCTCACCAAGCCGGACGTTTGCCATTCCCTCCAAATCTCCAGGCAGTCCCTTGCACCTAGAGGGGAACCGCTTCCTAAAGGCTGTGCCTTTCTGATCATGGAGGGAGGGAAGGCAGCTTCCACCAACCTGGCAGCACAGACCCGGCGGAAGCAGCCTGGGCCGGGGTTGAGGAGGAGAAGCCCCGCTCGCCTGCGCGCCGGATGGGTGGAATTTGGCATTGGCTCAAGCGCTGAAGCAAAAGTTATCCGTACACTTTTGGCCTTTTCGCTGGAAACCGGGTTAGCACAGGTTGTTGCCTCTGATTGTAACGTGAGGGATTGAGAGACGTCTCTTTCTCCTCTGCGGTGTTTAGACAACAAAGGATGATCTTTACACGAGTTTTAAAAATAGAACGATGGAATCACTACCCTCCCCACCCGCCTTGAGTGAGCTCATTAAAACCACACCTAATCTTCTGGGAACTGCATTATTAGCCTTACTTCCTACACAGAAGTCTCCCAAACATAGCTGCATTTTAGGGGGCTGGTGAAATGCTGGGCTAGCAGTGTTCTCTCTTGCTTCTCCTGGCTTACACCATAGCAGGTTTCATCTTTTGGGGTGAATTAGGTGAGTTTACTTGAAAATATTTGTAAAGTTTTTTAACAAGGAGGCCAAAAGGGAAACAGCAACTGAAAAGAAAGAAAAAGTTTGTGGACTCTTTGCATTTATTTATTTATTTATTTATTTGAGACAGGTTCTTGCTCTGTCACCCTGGCTGGAGTGCAGTGGGGCAGTCTCAGCTCACAGCAACCTCCACCTCCCCAGCTCAAGTGATCCTCCCACCTCAGCCTCCCAGATAGCTGGAACTACAGGCACACGCCACCACACCCAGCTTATTTTTGTATTTTGGGTAGGGTTAGAGACGGGGTTTTGCCATGTTGCCCAGGCTGGTCTCAAACTCCTGAGCTCAATCAATCCGCCCACCTCAGCCTCCTGAAGTGTTTGCATTTTTCTTGGTCCGGTTTTTGTTTTGTTTTTTATTCAGATTTACAAAAACAATCCTTCTCTTTTAGGGGCATGCTAGCTAAGTGAGGTTTTGTTTCTGTTTGTTTTTTGTGGGGTTTTTTTTTTTTTTGAGATGGAGCCTTGCTCTGTCACCCAGGATGGAGTGCAATGCCATGATCTTGGCTCACCACAACGTCCCTCTCCAGAGTTCAAGTGATTCTCCTGCCCCCGCCTCCTGAGTAGCTATAACTATGGGCGAGCACCACCAGGCCCACCTACTTTTGTACTTTTAGTAGAGACAGGGTTTTCACTATGTTGACCAGGCTAGTCTTGAACTCCTGACCTCGTGATCTGCCTGCCTCTGCCTCCCAAAGTGCTGGGATTACAGGTGTTAGCCACTGCACCCAGCCACTAAGTAAGTTTTAAACCTATCAATGAGAAGTCCCTTGAGCCAGCATGCACAACCATAGGGGGTTATTCTAGAAGTGATCCTAAAGCACATTACAAAGCTGTGCTATAGAAGCTTTTTGAAGCAGACAAAATGCATTTGCAAATGAGGTGATAGCCAGTTGCAGTTTACCTGAAGAGGCTTGCTCCACTCACAGGTTGGGACATTCATGGGTTTGTAATATGTAGTTTGGAAATCCGAATTATTTTACTCACAGAAAAAAAAATATTAACAATGGGTAGGTAACCCTGTTGACCCGTTAACCAATGTAACCACAATTGTGCTCTAGACTAATTAGTATGATATGAGGCATTGTTTCTCAGTTTTTAATATTCATAAAATATGGAATTTTGTGAATAAAATAAACTGCAATAAATTGGGACATAGCTATAGGTCACTTGGTGAAAATATGTGGTTATTTTTGTAAAATAACAATAAAATACAAAGTATTGAAGGAAAATAATTACATACTGAATTTGAATAAAGCTTTAAATGAGATAGTTTTAAAGTTCAGAGGAACTTGAGCATGATTTCATGATTGTAACTTTTTCTTTATGGTTTTATGTTGAAACAGCTGTACATATTTGCTAATCAAGATGTTTGAATAACAACCTCTTCACACTTTTGATAATAACCTTCAGTGAGAAGCTTTACAGACACACAGGTAATAAATGTATAGCTCTTATTATTGTCTTACGTTGTAAACAATTTGAAACTGGATTTTAAAAGTCCAGTAGCTCTTTTTCCTTTCATTGATGTGTATAAGTTTCTTTTTCTTTTTCTTTTCTTTCTTTTTTTTTTTTTTGAGACGGAGTCTCACTCTGTTACCCAGGCCTGTGTGCAATGGCACGATCTCAGCTCACTGCAACCTCCACCTCCCAGGTTCAAGCAATTCTCCTGCCTTAGCCTCCCAAGTAGCTGGGATTACAGGTGCTTGACACCAGGCCCCTCCTCGCTAATTTTTTGTATTTTTAGTAGAGATAGCGTTTCACCATGTCAGCCAAGCTGCTCTTGAACTCCTGACCTCAGGTATCCACCTGCCTCGGCCTCTCAAAGTGCTCGGATTACAGGTGTGAGCCACCGTGCCTGGCAGATGTGTATAGGTTTGTTATGACAATGTGAGTGGATTTCAGATGTAATTGAAGTTTTTCTGTCCAGGCACAATGGCTCATGCACAGCACTACAGCCTGGGCAACAAGAGCAAAACTCTGTCTCAAAAATAAAATAAAATAAGAATAATCAAAGTTTTTCTGGTTTTTGTTTGTTTGTTTGTTTGTTTAGTTTTGTTTTGTTTTAAGATGGGTTTTCACCATGTTGGCCAGGCTGGTCTTGAACTCCTGACCTCAGGTGATCCGCCCGCCTCGGCCTACCAAAGTGCTGAGATTACAGGTGTGAGCCACTGTGCCCAGACTGTTTTTGTTTCTTGAGACACAGTTTCACTCTGTCATCCAGGCTGGAGTACCGTGGCGCAATCTCGACTTACCGCAAGCTCTGCCTCCTGAATTCAAGGAATTCTCCTGCCTCAGCC